TCACCGGGATGCGAACCGGCAACCTTCTAGTTGCATCATATAACTGTGTCATACTGCACAGACAACAGTTTTCTAGTCCTGGCTGTGATGTGTTTCAACAGGGCTGCAGGACTTTATACTGTCGTGATAAAATGAGGCAACGGTGGGTGAAAAGGTGACAAACTATCAGGCCAATCAGCAATGAAACGGGCTCTCTGTGTCGGCTTTAACGTCTCATACTGGAATTAGAACGGCTGCTACATTTCATAGATCAGTCAAGAGCCATTAGAGCCAGTAGTGGGAAAACGTTTGGCTTATTAAGACCAAGAACACATTGTTGAAAAGGCTTGCTGTGTGCTTGGGCATCGCCTGATCGCTGATAAAAGCAAACGTGCCGGGAGACGAGCCAAACACGTCCCCACCCCACAATTAACCCGACTGTAGATAGAAACCTCTGATTAATTCTTATCTCATTATATCAGATCGTGATGTGTAATTGTGAGCTCCCGTGACACTCACCAAGAGAAGCAGGTGGCTCAGGTATCTCCATGACATGCTGCCGCTGTGACCATACACTAGGATGAGAGAAACAGACGGAATTACAGATCGTCATTCATAAATAAGGGGTACGACCTATTGTACGCTCTGTCCCGTTCTGTTGTCCCGCCCACAGCGCCACCTGATTGGCCACAAGTAACTGCCAATCAAAACTGAAGGAAACCTGTTGAAACAATGACTAGCCCACCCTTGTTTTCTTCAGTTTCTTGTTCATTTTAATGCCTGCTACCACTAAAGGTAACATTACCTGAAGAATACAATGAACACGACAAAAAAATGCAGCTGATTACATCATACTTTATGTCCTGTTTGACATGATTAAGCATCTCTGTAAGAGGCAGTCATATGTAGCGCTGCACATGCAAAGGCCTGGAGTGGTTTCCTGCTCACATTCAAGTCGTAGCACAAACTCAGAGGTTGTCAGCTCTCACATAATGCCTACAACAACAGAATTATGTGAAACCACAAAGGCAGCCATCTTGGACTGCTGGAAACTGGCACGAGTGAGAGACAGGTAGAGAAAAAACAGAACATCTCCAAGACAGTCGTTCATAACACCAAGAAATAACAAGGCCAGCATGGTACTACCACATTGCTAGCTGGTCGTGGCAGGAAACGTCTTTCTACCCCACGAGATGACCATGTGCTCATTGGTTCCTGTGTCAGGAATCGTTGTCAGACCTCCAGGGACCTCAAACATGAGTGGACACTGTCGAGAAATGTGACTTGTCTGGCAAGGACCATTCGAAACTGCCCGGTCACTCTTTGCTGGGGATCACAAAGATTGGACTGTTGATGAGTGGGCTCAGGTTCTCTTCAGTGATGAATCCAATTTTCAGTCCAGCCAACGTACTGGTTGGACGAAGCCTGGAGAAGCCTACAGACCAGACTGTCTTGCCCCTCCAGTAAAGCATGGGGCTGGATCAGTGACCATCTGGGGTTGTTTCAGTGTGGGTAGAACGGGGCAAATGCAACTGTGTGAAGGGGCGAATGAAGCAGGTCATGTACAGGCTACTCTTGAAAACAGTCTTCTTCCATCAGCTGGAAACTCTTTCCTGCCTCCAGTGACTGGATTTTCCAACTAGACAATGCCCCCTTGCCACACGGCGAGGTCAGCTAAACATCACTTTCATCAAACCACCAATCAGCGCTTCTTTTGGATGGAAATGCTTCATCAGAGGTCACTTTTAATCAGTCACCTGTCTGTATGTTCATTTTAGAGTTTCCATTAGGAAGCCTCCACTGTGTGGACACGTGAGTTGGTTATTTAGTTCTAATTATTGTCATTATTTTGAGCACTTGTACCTACACTGATGGTAATTTTACTTCATTTGAACAGA